GACCCTCACGCTGATAAGTTCAATTGCTTTTGACAAAGGTGCCAAGCAGTTCTGCGGAAAAAGAAAGCCTTAACAAATAATGCAGAATGTACTGGGTATAGATGGGGAGGTGGTGGTGAATGAAACTTGATCCCTTCTTCCATCATACCCAGAAATTAATTTGATCATGGGTGTTACAGACTGATCCACAGAGGAGGGCGGGGCAGCAAGGGCCTTAGTACTGGGGGCTGTATCGGCATAGGGTATGAGAGCTGGAGCCTTGCATTGACCGTCAGTCTGCTGCCCTCCCTGGATCTTAACCCTGGAGCAGGCTCTCAGCCCATGCTTTCCGCTTTCACTTGGGTATACGTAAACCCCGATACACATTTAGGATTTCTGGTTGTTAGGTCTTCAACAGTGTTGGGCAGTCTGTTTCTTGTTCTTGGCCATTTTTATCTTGAATTCCTTCAATACATTCGCCAAACTTCACTCCTCTCAGTACCCATTTCTTTCACTTACAGGAATGAAGTTACCTTTGCCTTCACCAAGAAAATTGAAAGTTAAGCATATACTTCCTCCACTCTGTCACTCTCAACCCCACCATCCTAAAGTCAGTCAGCCGGGCTAGCAAAGAGCTAGTTATTGATCCAACTGCTTTCTTGAAATATCTTCCCAAATGTTTCCTAGGCACCTCAAGCTACATTTAATTTCTCCCACCCTTCCCAAATCATCTCAGTGTTGCTTATCCACCCAAAATTCTGCCAATCATCCTCAACTCCCTTTTCTCCCTCACTTTTGACATTCAAACACTCATCGTGTTCTGCCAATTTTAAATCCTAAATATGTCTTAAAAGATATCTCCTTACCATTTCTACTACAGCTTCTCTATTTCAGACCCTCATCGTCTCATCAGAGCTGTTCCAGCACCTTCTGACTCATGAGCTTCTTGCAGTCTGTTCTCTAAATAGTGCCAGAGTAATTTTTCATAAATTTGAGATGGATCATGTCATTTTCCTCTTTAGGGTCCTTCAATGACTCTCCTCTTCCTATAAGATAAGAGTTCAGGCCCCTTGACATGGGAAAGCAAACCATTTATGATCTGACACTCCCTTATCTGTCCTGTTTCCCCTTCCTCTCTCCCCACCCAAAACCCAGACTTGATGTGTAACAAAACCAAACTATTTAACTTGTCTAAAATATATGATGAACTTTTCCTAGTTGGTATATTTGCTAATACTGTTTTTTTCCCTTCCAGCCTTCATTCTCCCTTATCTCCTGCTTAATCGCTAAGATTTAGTTTAAATGCTGCAGAATTTCCCTTCAGTTATATAGGTAGAACTAGGTGCCCCTGCCCTTGTGTTCCTGTAACATCTTGTGTATTCCCGAATTACAGCTTTTATCAGATTTTAAATGATCTGTTTCCATCTCTGTCTCCACCTTTAAAATCACTTTGAAGATTGGAACTAGGTCTTTGCATGCCTATGTTTGTACGCCCTGTGCCCGGCATCTGTTAAATGCTCAATAAGTAACCTGTTTCCATGTTGGCCTGCACCAGCCCCGTAGCATATTATCCTGCCATAGAGTGTTGTCCCCAGTAGATAGACGGTGAAAGTAAATGAATGATTGCTTTGATCATGCATTGAACAGGAAGAAGGAAACCAGGAGTTGAGACAACGGAAGTTTTTCATACGAGTGACAGGGAGAACGGCGATTGCATTAAATGAGAATGGAAACAGATGGAGGAGTTAGTTTCACGAGAAAGATTATGCGTTGCTTTAACATGAGTTGGTTTGGGAAGTATGACAAGACATCCCTTGGCAGCTTTTCAGCAGATGCTTGATCAGGTCAGCAGTTGTGGACAGCACTGTGGGCTGGACAGATCTATTTAGAAATCATAATTGAAGATACAAGGGCGTGGCAAGGAGCACTGAGAGAGTGCCAGGAGAAAGAGAAGGAAGACAAGGGCAGAATCTTCCAGAATGTCAGTGTTTCGGTGAGGAAGTAGAAGAGTTTCCAGTGGAACAATCTGAGTAGAAGCCTCTTGAAACTACTAAAACAACCAAGATAATACAGATATTATGAAAACAATCAAGATAATACATATATTATGAAGTCCAAGGGGAAAAAAGTTTTGAGAAAGGAGTGAAATGTTGAGAAGTGGTCTAGTAACAAGCAAGACTTTTGAAAGAGAAAAGGCCACTAGACCTGTCCTTTAAAATATCATTTTATAAGGTATATATGTTAAACGTAATTGCTGTTTCTAGAAGTTTGGCAGAAAAGGGAAGGAGAGAGGAGATGGTAATATAAAGGAGATGGTGGAAGTTTTTGTTTTTTTTTAAGCACAAAAGTACATGTTTATTGTAAGAAATTTAAACATTCAGAAGTATATAAGTTAAATGATAAAAGTCATACATTCTATTTCTAATTCTGTGGTTTGGTATTTATCTATTCCAAACTTTAAAAATATTTTTAATATTTATTTGTTTCTACCAAAACGAGATCCCAGTATACATTCTTTTATTGCAAATTGCTTTTTTTTTTTTTACTTTATAGTATATCGTGAACTTTCTCCACAATATATAGAGAACTACATACCTCACTTTTTTAATGGCTGAATAGTATTCCTTATGATGTGTGTATCATTGTTTATTTTTCTACTCTCCTATTGAACAATATTTGCCTTCAGTTTCCCACTATTACAAATAATTCTGCCATGACCATCCTTAAACAAACATTATTATGCTGTTGTTTATGTAATTCTATGGGATAACTTCTTAAAAGTAGAATTATTAGGAGGGTAGGTGCATTTTTATTTTGTTTTGTGTTGACATATCCACAAAAGGGCGTTACCAATTTGCAGTTTCTTCAGTGTATTAAAATGCTGTTGTCTCACACCCTCACTGATACTGAGTTTTGTTATACTTTCCCACTGAAAAGAAGAGATTTTAGTTTTGACTTTTAATGAGAAGTTTGATCTTGTTTGTGCTCCTAGGAAAGAATTCAGTTGAGAAGAGGAGGAGTTTATAAGTATTAAGAAAAGGAAATGATTAACAGGCCATAGTCACAGAGGGCATGGGTCAAAATGGTATCAAGAGTATGCATAAAAGGTATAATTTCCTTCAGAGATATTAAAAGAAGAATAGTAGATGGATAAAGATAGAAATAAACACAAATGAAAGAACAAATTTTTTATGCACTTATCTTTATTTTAAGGAAATCAGAAACTTAAGTTCCACGTTGAGGTAGAGGATTACCAGGATGGGGTTAGGAGTAAAGGTATGGAAGAGCTTCTGTGTAGAGTGGGTTAAAGGAGCAGGAAGCAATCAATTACAATTGATCAGAACTGGCTGATATTGTGAGCTCGGCTGAGCAGAGAAGGAATGCATTTAGAGGAAGCCAGTAGTCTTGGTCACATCAGCAAGCAGAGCTGTAGTTGTTGAAATGCCTAGGTTTGGGGCTTCTGGGTTGAGGTAAATTTATCTTACATTCACAGTGAGGTAGTTTTATTCTCCTGTTTTCCTCTCCCATGAATAGAAGTTATATGAGCTAAGATACATATCCACTAGTTGTTCCTCATGGGAAAGTGATACCCGGGTTCTGGTAAAAAAAAGAAAAAGAAAAAGAAAAGACATTTAAAGAATATAAATTTAATACATTGCATTATACCCATCTAAAGCTACATTGCATGAAGCCACTTAATTTCTTGCTTTTTATTAATAAATTACAATATGAACAAAAATTACTAAAAATTCTGATCAATACAAATAGAAGGCCAGCAACTTTGATGGGTTTACATGTTTTGACTTCTGGCCCAGGGCCACTTGGGATTAGTAATGGGGATTAATAATGGATCCAGTAATACTTAGTCAATTCTTTCTTGACGATCTCTGCTTCTGGGGAGTTTAAACGTCTTCACTTTTAGGATCTTACTTTTTGAGTAAAAATCTTTTTTTTTCTTCACGTTAATTTTCACTTTGTTTATGGGCAAAGGGAAGAAAAAAACAAAGTGTCATGAGTCTGTGGTGAACTTAATTTAGAAGGAAAAGGCTAGTAGTATAATAAGGGATATATATATATATACATCGTCAGATCATTACTCTCCAAGAAATAAAATGTTATAAGAGGAAATACGCTAAGGTGGGAACACAGTTTATTAGAGAGAAAAAGATATGCATGTGTTTTTATTTTTATTAAATTTCCTTTCATTCCGTATTTACCTTGCTGACTTATAATAAAATTATGCGAGAACAGAGATCAGTTCTTCCACATGCACTATTGTACTACCTTCTTTTATACACTGGGGACATAGTAAGTACTGCAACAATTGAAAATGAGAAACATAAGTGCACTTTGAGGCAAATTGGTAATGTTTCAATTCCTAATATTCATTTTTAGTATTTGGAAACATCGTAGTTATGCAGGTCTTGTTTTAGCATACTTTTTTACTTCTACAGACATTCCCGTTCTTGGTCATAATCCGTGACTTTATTAGCAGTTTCATGGGTCTGAGTTTCATTTTCCCAACTCCAGATATAGGCTTTTGGAGGACAAAGACCATTTCTTCTCCAGTGTTGTGGTAGGACACAAAATAGACCTTCAGTATGCCCTGGCCATGTGTCCCAGTTGGTTGGAGCATTGTTCCATGAACCAAAGGCTGCCAGTTTGATTCCGGTCAGGGTACATGCCTAGGTTGCAGGTTCAGTTCCTAGATGAGTGAGTACAGGAAATAACCTTGATATTCTTCTTTCATATCCATGTCTCTCTCTCTCTCTCTCCCCGCCTCCCGCCCCCCCCCCCGCCCTTCCTCTCTCTATAATCAATGGAAACATGTCCTTGGGTAAGGATTCTTTTTTTAAAAAAGATCTTCAATAAATTATTTAAATTACACTTCAAAAAAAATGAGAAAAAGAAAGTTTTCAGTACCATGAATTGCATTTCAACTGATGCTGAATTTATATGCCTTTGTGTGATCTGTATCCCTTATATGCTCTCTGCAACTCATTCATACTTTTTTTTTTCAGTTTGTTGAAGTCAACATGTGATGACTGGCAGCTTGGAACATCATCATCCATCAAAAAGTACCCAGAGTCCATTAACAGTGGAGAGAATAGAAAAGAGAAGAAGACCGTTGGGTTTCAGTCACATATGGAAGATGATGCCCTGTACACATGTCCAAAGAAAGATACATATCGACCACAAAGAGGTAAGCCTAGCATCTACAGTAGCAAAATGAGAGCGTATTGGGGGCAGGTGGTTGCTGGTGGCTGCTAGCCATGAACTCCAGGTGATTTCCTACAGCCCTGAGCAACAGTTAAATATGTTACAAACTGACATGGGCCTGCAAGACCATAGACAGCACGTCTCGATCAGTGAATTACATCAGCATTTCTCTTAGAATACTCATATGAGAAACTATCCAATTTGTCCCTCTTTCTGCAAGCAGCAAACTGTAAGAATTATTCAGTAGTGAGTATGGTCATAGACACAAAATAATGTTCAAAGTGAGTAAAGAGGACAAGAAAGTGAACATAAATCTCTGCTGGGAAAGTAAACTCTAACAACTACAGTTAATCTTCAATTTACTGGAAATATGGGGAGGGTGGAGGAGAGGTCATGGATAAATTCTACATTGTGGCTGAAACAAAACCTCATAAGTTTTAAGTATATATTGCCTAGCAGACTTTTAAGTACCAGTAATTCTTCCTATTTTATATGTCACGGATATTTCTTTAAATCAGTTATAAATAACTGTGTGAAATGCTGAGTGAATCAGTTAAATTTAATTCCCAGTTGTTTCTGGAGTGGCTTTGGCTTAATTTCTCCTGGAATTATTAAGGGAAGGGTTTTGGAGCAGAGTGGAACAGGTCTGAGCTTTTTGTACAGAAGAAATATACAGGAAACAAAGGCCAAAAAAGGGTTTCAGAGCACCCTCTGCTCATGCCTCTTTTCCGGACATCTTTCTTTTCTGCTCACAACCATGAACACTGCTTACTTTCTTATTTACCTCTTTTTTAGCTGGTAGCAGCAGCCCATCTCTAGTATTCAGCAGCCAACCTCTCCTAGTCTCTCCAGCTACTGCCTCACTTTCTTATTTGAGAAATGTGCAGTGCTTTCTGAGAAGGTATTATAGGTATACTGCCCCCTGCCTTTCCTCCTCATCAGCCAGTATTGTCCTGTTTTTTAGTTTTAATTATGATTAATCTATAAATTCATCCCAGATAATTGAGAGATGATAATTAGTCCCAACTTCAGAAGGGAGTCTATTCATAATCTGAAACAAAAGCAAAAGCTTATTTTGTTTGACATAAAGGAAAAGTTCAGCAGACCTCCATTGCTTCATGACAACTTAGAAACAAAAATGAAATTCAGGAGGCTCAGTATCTGAAGTAGAATCTTCTTTGCTTTCTCCTTTGCCAGTCCTTCATGGAGAGGCAGCTCTTGATTTGGCTTCCTCTCTTCTTAGTCACTGCACTTTGGAGGGTGGAGAGCCCGTCAAAATCCGTGTGGTGGTTACACTGCAAGGCTTAACGTAATCTTCTCTTAACTTGTCACCAAATTTGTGTTGTGTGTCAACACTAAAATAAAATGGCAAAAAGAAAAAAACAGAGTGTAATAGCAAAGGAACAAATAACTTGTGTGATTGGTTAAGACCATGGCCGCCTTGGAAAGCTACGGTTGGAAAGGCACTTGGAGAAGGGTATCACCTAGCCAGCCCTTGCCGTGGCGGACGTTAATCTCTCTCAGGCCCAGCTACAGAAGCCGGAAGCCTGGAAAGGGCTTGTGTCCAAAAAAAAATCAATTTCTAATTTGAAACAAAATCATTTTGACTAACAGGGGTTCAGAACCCATTACTTTTTGCTGTATAGTCTGCTGACATTTCAGCACTTTCTGTTGTGCCCAATGAATCCTAATAGTCATTTTATAATGTTGCTATACCAATCAATTTAACCAAGAGAAAGCTGTTACAATTCTGCAAAGTTTTCAGGAACAGTTTTCACTCAGGGTTTTATTTTTTTCATTAGTTCTTTTTTTTTCCTTCCTCTTTCTGAGGGGAGGAGTTACAGTGTTGCAGTGAACACTAGAAACCTTTTCATCTTTTCAAAAGAGTTGTATCATAAGGCACTGTACTCACAGGAATTATTAACTTTTTTTTGTACTCGTAAGAAAGACTATCTTGTATTTTTTCTCTTCTTTCATTCTAATATGGAGCCTTAGCAAAATTATAATATACTTGATCGTTGAGAGAGGGCTCCTTTGAGTCATTCGCTCACTGCAGAGCTGGTACACACGCATCCAGTACAGGGCACAGTTATACTGCATTGGCATTCACTGCGGCACCCACCCAACTGGGAGACAGCCTTTCCAAGCTGTGCTGCAAAGGGTTTGGACACCTGTTTATCATGAGGCCAGTGACCTAGCACTAATTGCCTAAGTAGCACTGCTTGGTTTGTCGACTCCTTAATTGCTTCCCCTCTTTAGTGTATCTGAATTTTTTATTATACTTTTCTTCTATTTTCTATCCTTTGTTTCTTTTGTTGTTCTTTAATTATTAAGCACTACACAGGACATTTACTGCAGGACCATTAATCTTTATTATCAGTCTCTTTCTCCTTTACTTCTCCTATCCCCCTCACCATTCTGTCCACTTTATACATACTAAACATGTAAAAAAAAAGAAAGAAAGAAAGAAAGAAAGAAAAAAAAAGAAAAAAAGACTTGACTCTTATCTGAAGAAACAACCTTGTTATTGCAAAAATATGTATAGTATCATCAGGATTATACTTAAGGTATAAATTGTTTTTCAATCAACAATGCTTGGATGTTCTATTTTAGTTGCTTTCATTGAACTATGTGGAAAAAGGAGACATTACTTAAGGAAATTTAAACTTCAGTCAAGAACTTCTAAGCCAAAAGCACAAATCTGGTGAAAAGATTTCTCTGTCTTCCTTCCTACTCAGTGGTGTTTTTATTCTCTCCCAGCTTGTCACAAACCTTCTCTTTCTGAGCAATCACTGATTCCCTTTCACAGGAAACCGGGAGGCTGTGGGCATTTTTTTCAGTGAAGCCTAAGTGCCAGGGGAGGCTGCGAGGCCACTGGGCACACCAGTTCCAGAACTGAAATGTCAGGCTTCAGGGTTTGTGACTGCCCACCCCTACCTCCATCACCCCAAAGCCCACTGCATCATTTAGAGCAACCTCCTGTTTGTCCTTCTTTCATTGATCTCTGAATCCCCTTAAAACTTTGAGCGAGGCTGAATCTAGAGTAATTTTGATTTAGCTGATGGTATTGACCATGCCTTTCATTTTGTCTTTGGGTTTTTTTAGGTTAGGTAACGTACAGAGCAGCTGTCACTGATCAAGGCTCCCAGAGGGGCTTCCAAACACTTTTTTTTTTTTCCATAAGAGGATTATTGTAGACTTGTCCAAAGGGAGGGGTGATTTCTGAAACTCCCAGTTGTTCCTCTAAGTGAACCTGTGCTCACTGTGATGTGAGTGCTCTTCGTAGTCCCTGATGGATTAATAGGTGACGTGATTGAAGAAGTAAACAAGTTGGAGAATCCAAAGTACAGAAACCATTTCCATCTTGTCTCTAAGTGGCCCTTATTTATGTTTATTTTATTAGTAGTATCATCATTATGATTATGTGCTTAATCGTTAGAAAAGGTACACAAAATAGTACTTCTGACTCGCAGAAGTCTGAGCAGTTAACAGATCTGTTAACAGTTAAAAGACCTGTTAACAGATGATGCCTTTATCAATAGAAGACAGAAGACAAGCATAGTACAGGGCTATGAATAAACGTAGACATTTACATTAAATTGTCCTGCCCCATCCACTCAAAAAAGGAATTTGAATGCAAGAGACTAGTGTTGAGTGTTGAAGTTGCTATATATGGAATTTTGTCACTTAAATCAGAGTCTCTACATTTTCTATCCTCTATAATAGCAAGAACTACCTCAAAATACTATATAATTTACTTATTATTATTTATATTGTATATTTCTTCCACTAGAATAGAGGCCCCCCCATACGTTCACTGTTGTATCCCCATCACCTAGACCATTGCTTAGTCTGTGGTAGGTGCTCATCATATATTTGTTAAATTAATTAAAGTAACATTATAGACATTGATTTTTCTCTCAGTGTCCTTCCACCATTTTCCCACAAAAAGGATTTAATCATTTAAACCTGTTGAGCTCAGTACTTGCAATGATTTAGTGATTTAAGAAATGTATATGCTCGTCCCTTCACAGTCCTCACGGTGACTGACTGGCAACGTCAAAAAGATAAGAGTCGAGTCTTACAAATAGCCTTGAAAGTCAAGAAAACCATGGGTTTTTTTTTTTCATTTTCTTTTATTCTAATTGTGATTTAAGTTATATACAATGAAATTGCATATGCCTTAAGTGTACAGTTTGAGAAACTTTGACAGTGTATATATCTACGTAAACACCACCCAATTAAGATGTAGTACATATCCTTTATTCATGACAATTCCCTTGTGTTTTCCAGTAGTTCTCCCATGAGGCCTCTCTCCTTGGCTTGCAGATGGCTGTTTTCTCCTTGTGTCCTCACAAGGCCTTTTCGCTGTGGGCGCGCCTCCCTGGTGGATCGCCCTCTTAGAAGGACACCAGTCGTACTGGATTAGGGCCCATCCACGTGACCTCACTCAATATTAATTACCTCTGTAAAGGCTCTCTCTGCAAGTACATTCTGAGGTCTACTGGGAGTTAGAGCTTCAACATATGAATCTGGCAAGGGGAGAGGACATAACTTTTTTTCTAACCTTTATGCCTTTTATTTTTTTCTTATCTCATTATACTGTCCAGGACTTTCATTACAATGTAGACTAAAATGGTAAAAGTGGAATTTATGCCTTGTTCCTGATCTCATAGGGAAAACAGATACTCTTTTCACCATTACATATGGTTTTAACTGTAGGGTTTTTTGTCAATGCTATCTATCATGTTATAAAAGTTCTTACCTCATTTGCTGAGAGTTCTTATTGTAGTGAGTGTAAAATTTTATCAAAACTTTTTCTGCACCTATTGAGATGGTCAGAGTGGATAAAGAACAAATACCCTGTATCCAGGCAATTTCTTTCTAGGTATCTATACTAGAGAGAATCTCATACATACAATGATTAAATTACAAATATGTTCAGAGCTGTATATTCAGTTAGGGTAAGCTAAACTTTGGTAACAAGTGGACAGAAAAAAACCAATAGCTTAAAGAACAAGAAGTTTTCTTTCTTTGTTTTGTAATGGTCCAGGGTAAGAGGTTAGGCTGACAGCAGCTCTGCCCCAAAGAATGATGGCTCTGCCCTATTTCGTGCCTTCCAGGGTCACCCTAATCATCGCAGTGACCCAGGGGTGGGAAACTTGGTCCATGGCCCACTCTGGCCCACTGCTTGTTTCTGCAAAGAAGTCTCATTGGAATGCAGCCATTTTCATTTTTTACATGTTGTCTGTGGCTGCTTTCGTGCTACAACAGCAGAGTCGAATGGTTGCAGCAGGAACTGGACAGCTCACGAAGCCCAGTGTATTTACCATCGGACCCTGCCCAGGAAACCGTTGGCTGGTCCTGCCGTAGCAGGTCGGCAGAGGCCAGGAAGGGGACGGAGAAGTACCTGTGGAAGGGTTCTGTAGGACGGTCCTGAAGTGGCACATATAATGTCCGCTAGTTTTTCTCCGGACCACATATAATTACAGGGGGTTGGGAATTACAGCCTCGCTGTGCCCCCGGGAAGAGGGGAGCAAAGTGCATTTTGGTGCGTAACTGGCACCCGCTGCCACAGCAGCGGTCCTCTTAACAGCCCAAACCAGAAGCTCTCCAGACGTCCATCGGCAGCAGAGGGGAGAGTCATAAATGCATAAATGGACTGTTATATGACAAAGAAAATAAACTGCAGCTACATAAATCATCAACATAGATAAACTCCACAAATATAATATTGAGCAAAAGACATCTCAAAAGGAATATATATATAGTATATTCTATTTTGTAAAGTTCAAACACGGCAAAACTGAATCACATTTTTGGGGCACATATCTAAGTGGTGAAACTATAAAGAACAAAAAGGGAAGGACTGTGAGGGCAGGGGCTGGCTCCTGTGTTTCCGAGGGGAGAAGAGGTGCTGCTGGCGCGGGCATCAGTGATGCGTCCCGGGGGCCTTGCGGCCGGGACTCCGTTTCTCGACTGGAAGACGACGGGTCGCACTGGTGTTTTCTTTGTCAGTCTCCAAACTGAACTGAATGTATATCACAGCCTGGCAGTTTCTAAATGGCAAAATAAAACAAAGGGCCCAGAAACAGAGTTTTCCGAAACATTGAATTCTAAGAAGTTATCTTATGAGATGCTGACTGATGGATGGGCAGACACAGACCCCGCCATATGTAAATAAGACATGATCCATTATGTTCAATTCCGTCTGTGTATGCAAAAATGCACGTGTATTTACATAAATGTACTCACATATATTTATGCATAAAATATACACTTATATGTGAAATTTAACATCCTAATGGGTAATATTCTTACCAACACTTTTATTTTTTAAATGTGTATATTGTCTTTGTGTGTGTGTGTATGTAAATATAGAGGGATGTGTAGTTCTATGAATATACATAACTGTCTGTAACTGTTGGTATACCAAAACATTAAATCAAATTTTATAGAATGAATGAATATAATTAAAAGCTGATATATAGCCTACTAGAAACTTAATAAGGAGTAGAGCTTAGAAAATTAAGAAAAAGGAATAAACTTGCTGTGAGGTATTCCCACATTCCTGAGGTGCTTCCGTGGATCTCCATCCATTGACGTTGGTCTGTGCCATAGAGCAATCATTCTTCATGTTTTTGGAGTCCTCTAGCCTTTCATAATTTGATGAAAGCTGTGGCGTCTCTGCCCAGAAAAATGAATGAGCATATATACACACATTATTGTGCCTGCAATTAGGAGGGATTCACAGATTCCTGAAGCACATGCATGGATCCCATTGGAAGTCCTTGCACCCTCTGTTAAAATTTCTTCTTTCCGTTGTTCCCATCAAATGTCAATTGCCTCAACCAAACTTTTGATTTAAGTATCAAAACAGAAAAAAATAAGACTAATGTTCAGGCCTTAGGTGATAGTGACTAAAAAGATCTTTATTCTGTCACTACCTGGCACCACTTCTCTCTCACCTCACCCACAAGTCCCTCTCTGTTGTTCCTGCTCCTATACACCCAGTGTAACTTCCCCTTCCATCCCAGGATTCTACTCAGACAGGCGTAGTAGCAGTGAACTGCTTTACCTGCCTCCATTCTCTCTGTTTCACTCTATTCTAAATTCTGCACAAGAGCAATCTCTCAAAAGACTAGATTGATGAATTTTATTGTCATTGTTGCTGCTTTGTTTTATTTTTGAGGCCAGCTAGCACAGTGTTTTAAGAGTTTGCAATACAGACTTCAATTGTATTCAAAACCGAGCCTGGCTTACTAGCCCTGTGATATTGGACACACTGCTTGACCTTTTCACACTTTCCACTCCTGTATCTATGAAGTGAGGATAGTAATATAACTTAAGTACAAGGAGAAAATGCATGTAAAGTGATTTAAAGTGATTAGCAAGGGACAAGGATATAATGATGCTCAATAAATATTTTCTGAATATATTAAATATTTAGCCTTAAAGTTTTTAATTTAATGCTTTTGCTAGTTGAGTGCTCCTTATTCTTTCCTATCAAAATTCCACCTTCTGCATTAAACCTTCCCTAATCCTATAGCCAGATGTGATCCCTCTCACTTCTTAATTCCTCAGACTTTTCGTATTACTTAATATGGCAGCAACTAGCATAATGACGAAAACTCTGGGACCAGATTGTCTGCCTGTGAATGCTGGCTCCATCACTTACTAGCTTTGTGACCTTGGCAGGTCATGTAAGTCCCTCATGGCTTATTTCCTTCTCTGTAAATTTGGTATAAAAAATAGTATCTATTGCAAAGGGGTTTTATGAGAATAAATATAACTAATTGTAGAAACAGCCAAACTGTAGCAATAGAGCTGGAGGGGAAGAGTGTCAGACCAGGCAGAGAGAAGGGAGCTACAAATGGGCATGAGGGGACTGTTTGGAGTGTGAAAATATTATCAAACTGGATTGTAAAATGAGTAAGTAAATGCCATGACAATTTTTTAAACTGGGCTGTGTCCATGCTTTCATAGCTGAACCAGTTTGCTACTATTTATCAAACTATACACCTAAGACGGTTAAATCTTACAGTATCCAAATTATACTTCAATGAAACATTTTTTTAAAAAAAGAATATATGGTATATGGAAAAGGCTTAGAATAGTACCAGGTACATACCAAGCTTACTGTATCTATTATTATTACTTTATTCTGTCTTGAGTCATTTATGATTTTTTTGAAATTTTTATTCTTATTCTGTTACAGTTGTTTGTTCAGAATAACTCATTTTCTTACTCTCACACCTTCCTTTCTCTCCTCCTAAACTAAACTTGAGCTCAATCCTGGCACCAGCCCTTGCCTGTCATTAGGGACGTGGTAAATATTTACTGACTGAATGCACTCTATGGACTGATGAGTTTATCTCTGGTATGAGAATGTGCTGATTTGGGTTGAGGGTCCCACAGGTTTGTGGACTCAGAGAAGACAGTTGTGCATGTAGATGGCTAGTGGTTTATATCTATACATATTAGTGAGCAGATAATACTGAGTTTAGCTCTAGAATACCAAGGTTCATGGTGATTGTTTCGATGCTAATCGCTGCAGGCGTAACTCCTGCTTTCTCTCATCCTGATTTTCTGTGGTCCCACCTGAACTGAGCCATTCCCGAAGTTAGCTCACTGTATTCTTGGTGTTTGAGGGACTGGTATTCCCGATACACCAAAGCTGTCTTTGTGCTATTTGAATACTCCCCCTTTCCTCAGAGAAAGAGTGAATCTTCCCAAGTAACTTCTTTAAGCAGTCTAGATAACAGCCTCCCAAGAACCAGAAGAAAACCAGAAGAAAAATGTGGATGAGATTCGTATAGCCTCCTGAGAAAAAGGCAGGGATGTGTTGTTTGTGTTGTTTAGAAAATAATAAGGAAGAGTAATTATTAGAAATACTAATAATTAAGAGTCAAATGAAAACAACAGATATTTATGTCCTTGTCTTCTTACTGTTTAGTACTTCAGAAAAGAAATAATCAACCAAACGTTGCGTGTTAGAAAGGAACAGAGGCCAAATCAGCCCTGGAGTAATTAGTTGAAAATCTCTTCCAATAAAACACTTCTTTTAGCCCAATGTAGAGCTCTTTGAAAGAAACATTCAAGACTCATATATACCTTGAAAGTTTTGGGGACAGGATAGTTTAATTTGGGGACTTTGAAGATACAAAGCTCTGGAATTTTCTGTTTGGTCCAAGAGGAGAATGATCTTTTGTTATGACAGTTAAGGGGAATGACATAAAGCAATCTTACCATCTTGGGCTTTTTCACAGTAAACCCAAATCAGCAGGAATATGAGAGGCCATCAGGTTTTTTAAAAGCCTCTAGTTAGTCTGTTATTGTACAAATGTACTTTTTTTAAACAAGATATTGCAGATCTCTGATGTTTACAAAACCAAAACAACCTGCTGAGTTTTCCATCTGTCGTTTCATTTCACAGAGGGGAGGGAATACTTAATTTCAAAGCTTAGGGAGTCCAATAATCTCTAATATATTACTCAGAATGGACTTTTAAATTTATTTTTATTGAATGCTCAAATTATTTCCTTTGTTGTTCATACAGGGACAATGGCAGGAGTTAGAAAAGATGCGTCCACTTCTCCTATGACAACAGAAAGCCGAAAGGAGCTTGTAAGCACCACATCGTCACTCCCACATGACGCCCCCCGGTAAGCTTTAGGGATTCTTGGGTTTAACATTCTCCAGATATGAGCATTTTTTTTAATTTTGGTTTTTTATTGACATATAATTGACATGCAATATCCTATTAATTTCAGGTGTACATCATAGTGATTTGATATTTATATACATTATGAAACGATTCCCACAATAAGTCTAGTTACCGACTGTCACTGTACAAAGTTATTACAATATTGTTGACAGTATTCCATATCCTGTACATTATATATTTATGACTGATTTATATTATAACTAGAAATTTGTACCTCTTACTCCTCTTCACCTATTTCACCTGCCCTCCCTCAGCCCCTCCCCCTCCTGGTAACCATCTGTTGGCGTTCTGTATCTGTGAGTTCGTTCTGCTTTGTTTGCTCCTTTGTTTGGTTTTAGATTCCATGCTCGTGTATAAGGGAAATCATACAGTACTTGTTTATGTCTGTCTGACTTATTTCACTTAGCATAATACCCTTTAAGTCCTTTCATGGTGTTGCAAGTAACAACATTTCATTCTTTTTCATAACTGAGCAATATTCTGTTAATGTGTGTGTTTCACAAGTTAATTTATTCAAGCACTCTTACCTCCAGCATCTGGACAGAACTCACAGCTGTACACTGGGGTTTCAAAAATCAAAATATAAACCAAGCAATAACATGGCTTATTTTTATGCTACATCTTCTTTATCCATTCACCTATCAGTGGATACCTAGGTTGCTTCCATATCTTGGCTATTGTAAATAATGCTGCAGTGAACGTAGGGGTGCTCATATCTCTTCAAATCAGTGTTTTGGTTTCCTTATGATAAATACCCAGAACTAGAATTGCTAGATTATATAGTAATTCTATTTTTAATTTTTTGAGGAACGTCCATACTGTTTTCCATAATGACTACATCAATTTACATCCCCACCAACAGTGCCTGAGGGTTCCCTTTTCTCCAGATTCTTCCCAACACCTTGTTTTTTTTCCTTTTTTGTCTTTTTGACAATAGCCATTCTGACATATGTGAGGTGATCTCTCATTAAGGTTTTGATTTGCATTTCCCTGATGATTAGTGATGTTGAGCATCTTTTCATGTGTCTATGGACCATCTGTATGTCTTTTTTTTTTTTTTGAAAAATTTCTCTGCCCATTTTTTAATTAAAATCTTTGTTTTTTGGTATTAAATTGTGTAAGTTCTTTATGTATTTTGGATATTAATCCTTTATTGGATGTATGATTTGGAAATATCTTCTCCCATTCAGTAGTAGATTGCCTTTTTGTTTTATTGATGGTTTGCTTTGCTCTGCAAAAGTTTTTTGATTTGATGTAGTCTTATTTGTTTATTTTTGCTTTTGTTTCCCTTGCCTGAAGAGACTAGTCTAAAAAATATTGCTAAAATCAATGTCAAAGAGTTTACTGTCTATGTTTTCTTCTAGGAGTTTTATGGTTCAGGTCTCACATTCAAGTCTTTAATCCATGGTGAATTTATTTTTGTTATTGTGTAAGGTAATGGTCCAATTTCATTATTTCCAATGTAGTTTTTCAGTTTTCCCAATACTGCTTATTAAAGAGACTGTCTTTTCCCATTGTATATTCTTGCTTCCTTCGTCAAAATTAATTGACCATATATGTGTAGGTTTATTTTGGGGCAGTGAATTCCATTTCATTGATCTACGTGTCTATTTTCATGCCACTACCATACTGTTTTGATTTCTATGGCTTTGTAGTATGGTTTGAAATTAGGGAGCATGACACCTCCAACTTGGTTCTTCTTTCTCAAGATCGTTTTGGCTATTTGGGGTTGTTTATGATTGCTTACAAATTTTAGGATTCTTTTTTTCTAGTTCTGTGAAAAAAAACCTATTGGTATTTTGATAGGGATGGCAGATTGCTTCAGGTAGTATGGACATTTTAACCAATATTAATTTTTCCAATCCATGAGCATGGTCTATTTGTGTTGTTCTTTAATTTCTTTCATCAATGTTTTACAGGTTTCAGAGTACAGGTCTTTTACCTCTTTGATTCAATTTTTTCCTAGGTATTCTTGAACCATTGTAAATAAGACTATTTTCTTAAGGTTTTTTTTTCTGACAGTGTGTTATTAGTGTGTAGAAATGCAACTAATTCCTGTGTATTAATTTTGTATCCTGCAACTTTACTGATTTCATTTACTCTAATTTTTGGTAGAATCTTTAGTGATTTCCATGTATAGTATCATGTCATCTGCAAATAGTTACAGTTTTACTTCTTTTTTTACATTTTGGATGCTTTTTATTTGCATAATGCATATTTTGAGGCTTATTTAATAAGCAGTGGAAAATTCTTGATACTTCTTAATGGCTCTTACTCAGGAGAGAGGCCTTTATTTGGCATCTAGAATTGGCCAGGTTGAACTCATGGAGCCCTTTTCTTTATACATGTCTTTCCCTAGTTGATAATGGTAATTGGCAAGGATTTCCTTAGAAACACAAACTAATTCTATCTTTCATCAACAGAAAATATGCTTGGCTGCAGGTCCTTCCAATTTATCACAGAATGGTTGTACACTTGGACTATAAGTTTAATTAACTGAATTAATTGATATTGAAAATTACAGTGGATTTTGTACTACAGTTAAAGGACTGTCAACATTTACTTATACCAGAGAAATTTGAATGAAGAGTTAATAATTTGATCAACCTTTTTTGGAATCAAGAAAAGAAACATGTTATTAAAATTCTCATATCTAATAAGCCAACTCTCACTTATATACTTGAAGTTGAATATATAAATATCAACACCAAAAGGGCTTATTTTATTTTTACTTGGGAACATAATTGTTTGAGCACTTAAATACCTAGTATCTTATCATATGAATACAAACTTGAAGACAATCTTAATTGTAAAGATCTTTTGGGAAATGACACAGAGGATAATAATAGTGGCTGTCATCTATTAACCACCTACTACATTCCCACTCCTTTATGTGCATTATCTGATTTCATCTTCATTGCAGCCTTATAAGGTGGTACTACTGTCATCCTCATTTTTAAAATTAGGGAAATATGGCTCAGACAGACTGACTTGCCTGAGGTCATGTAGTCAATAAGAGGTAAGCCAGCATTTCAGACTCCAAAGCCCAAAATCTTAAATATTATACTAGTTGACAAACACAACCTTCCTGTTTTGGAGGCTACCCACAATCAAAAGAAATTTTAACTAGTTTACCACATTCTTTGTTTATTATTCCTTTTTTATTTTTAATGCTGCTATTATTTTGCCAAAGACCCACAGTGAGTTGTGGTTCTGAAGTGTTGATGGGGTTCCCACTGTGGACCCCTTGACGCTGTGGCTGAGTGCCTGTTGCTCAAAGGAGATCTCTCCTTGGTCACCTTGAGAAATTCCTCTGGAAGAGTTACAGGTAAAGAGGAGAAAGAACTGGATTTTCAGTATTAGTGAATTTTCCTATTGTTGAAGGTTAAAGTGAGATCTTTAACACTACTTTAATATGTATTTGATGATTGCATTACAGTTTAGAGAGGAGCATGAAAAACGAAAAGAAAATGCTTCCCCAGTGAGGGTTTGGTAGAACATCCTCAGCACACATTTTTTTGAATGGACTATATCAGCCTTGTAGAGTTTTATAAGACTGGTTAAGATTGCCGTGAAGACTCATATTTATGGGTCTTAAAAAAAGAATTCTTTATCTGTTATTTCTTAATGCTGCAAATCAGCTAAATATAGATTCTCAGAAGCTTCCTAAGTAATGAGCATTTGGCTAAATAAAACAATGTGTTGCACATTATCCTTAGACGTGCACAATGGCATATTATATATCTGTTCTACAAAGTGCAGAGTTGAAAAAGATTCAGTGCTACGAAAATCAGTTACTGAGAAGGCACAGTGGTTGCTTTCCAGATTTCAGAATCAGGATTATTTGAATTATCTTTATTTCACAGTGTAGAAATGGTGTTTTTTTTTATAGACTACTTTTCAGTTACACAAAAACCTGATGCAAAAGAAAAACCCATTGTTCTTTGTTGCAACAAACCTTTGAAGGTAGTAGTGAGGTAAACAGGAGTAAAACACCTTTCCCTGTTCACCCTAAATTCCAAGAATCAAGACTTGCAAGAGGGTATGGGGTGGGACATATGCTAGTGGGAGACAGGTTTTCCCTTTGTTCTCTGCAAAGCGCTATCACCCGGAAGAGTCCCATATCATTCCATATGCAGGTGATAAAACAAGGCGTGGCAAAGTCATCTTTCTCATTCACAGTGGAGGCTGTTAATTGTTCTCTCTGCTGCCTGTCAATATAATGTGAAATTTTCATTCCCCATTCAAGATGGAAAAAGTTGTGGCTGAAAATGTTAACATTTGCATTTTTATTTGTTGATTTATTTAAAGGACAGCCTCTCCCACAGCAATCCATCACTCGGTGACACCCCAAATATGAATAATGTATTGTAGACTTGCAGTTACCATGTGTAATAAGTGCTCAAGACAGTAAAGGAATGTTAACTATGTTGCAAATGTAATATTTATTGACTCATAAAGTTTATTGCTTTTGAGGTTCAATAATACTGACCATAGGACATTAATATCACTTATCTTGATTTTAGCTGGGCACCTTTGTATGTAGAAATATTCATCTATCTCATGCTAACAAAATAAATATGTAATTTATAACACAAGCAAAGAGGGCTTTATAGTTTTCTGTGCTGGGAACTATAATGCTTCTTTCTCCGCATTTCTCTTCTGGCCTCCAGGATTGATCACACACCCTTGAGCTGTCCGAGAGAGTGAGCACACTGGTTATCTTGGCACAAGAGGGTGGTGCCACCGAGCTAAACAGTGCCATGCATATCTGCTTGGCTGGAACAGGCAACACCCCAGAAATCACTCCATCTGGAGAGATGACTAGAGAGGGCTTTCCTCCCTGCCATTCTGAACACCTAGGGGGCAGGCGCTCCTTCACTAAGACAGTTCAGTCCTTTTTCTGTCATGACACTGAGTCAAGTTTACTAATTCTAC